TAGGATAGCCTCAAAGCACGGAAAGATCTTTGCTGCTTTCTATCAACATAAATCAAACTCTGGCCAGTATCATTTTGATAAAATCCAGCTGAAGAGCTGACCTGGTTAGACCCCAGGCAATAAGAATCTGTTCCTGAGGCAATCAGAATTATTCTTCTGTGTGTTGAAAGAAACACATACTACGAGCAAACAAAATGTCATAAGTAATGTATAAAAATCTGCTTCTGCAAGGATCCTAATAAAATTGGCACTAATTATTTGGTCTTGGTTTTACTGTCTTCAGCATTTAAGCACTCTAGCAGTAATGGAATTACTTTTCATTATGGAAATTTTGGAGTGCAAATGTCAAACATTTCATTGGTCTGGATATTAAGCAGATACAACAGCTACAATTGTTTTAAGCAATTTTGACGAAAAACTGTGCAAGAAAATTGGTCTGTAAATTGCCTGAATAAAATTTCACAAACTTTCTGAACTGCAAACAATCTCTCTTCATTCAAAATATGAACAAGCACCGCAATGATGTGTTTTATCAAATATCAAAAATACGAAACAGTCATCCCTCAATCTCATCTGCAGATGATTGTAATAGTTGTACTCTTACTTGCATTCCAGGATTTTGCTTTTATTTAAATTTAATGCAATGTGACTGTCCAGCCTATTCTAGAGCTGTCCTCCTTTTTCCAAGACAAAAAGGTCACAGCAATTGAAAGACAAGAGGACTGGCACATGAGCCTTTTCATGATCAACATTCAAACTATGGCTAGAACAAGTCTGTATCTCTGAGTAATTCTGGCATACTGAAAAGGCAACCAGGTGTTTTGCTGCTTTCAGAATCCCCCTCAGTCTCACAGTTAATCAAAAAATAGGAAAGGGAAAAGAAAAACCAACCTTCCTTGCCAGGGACAAGTCTAGATAACTAAATACTTTCAAATTATGATGCTAATTACCCAGATTAAGAAAAGGCTCATCTGCAGATTTAACAAAATTATTAGCAAATAACTTCACCATTTGTTCAGGATCATTTACAAACTCATTACCCAGATCCAAGGATAATGTCTTCACTCTGGGCACAGCTCCAAAATGGTCATTAACAACAATATGAAATTGTTGTGCAGAAAAAGATTTATCATTAAAATATGTTATAATACTCAACTCTTACTTTTCAAATGCACATTTTGTATGGAACCCAAATGGTACTTACTTCAGACAAATGATCTTTCACATATGGTTCCCGTGTCACATGCAGTTCTCCTCAATGATGGAGATGCATGCTTTTCTTTTTTTTCAGACATTTTGAAATTTAATTTCTGCCCTTCATATTGCCCTTGTTTTGTTCAGGCTATGCAAAAGCTGACAATCAAAGGAGAGTGCCACATATGCCTCCATGTGCAAGGACCAAGGCTTCCAGTATCTCCAAGTCTTGCCAAATAGCACAAATTTTGTAGGTTAGGCTCTGGGAATGAGCCAGATGAGGGTAATGGTCCGTTATGAAGTGGAATCAAAGTGAGCAAGAACTGAGCACATTACCTTGGGTTTGAATCACTTTAGCACACACACCCTGCACAATTTATTCTAAAGTGCATACAGGGAGATTAAACACTGACATCTTTCTCTTTTGGATTACTGCTGAATATGAACACATTTTGCAGAGTAAAAGCGAGTGAGACCCATTATAAACAAACTTCCTTGATACTCAAGAGGAGACTGTAGCAAGAAAAAAAATAAACAAGGCACATATGGTTGGGAAGTGCTTAAAGTCACACCATGCCATAGCAACTGCAAAGCCCTCACTTGGGTACCTTATTTCAGCATCTGATGAATAAATAGTAATAGTTCCATATAAACAAGCCACATTAAGGCAATATGTAAACATTTCTAAAGAAGGATGATTTGTTTAGATCCTTTAGTCCTTCTGAGTCTGGATCTGGCTGCAACATGGGATCGCTTTGTGACAGGCAGCCCGTTGTGGTAGTAAGCTGCTGTTACATTATTATTGTTGGATGAAAAAACAGGCCTCATAATTTATGCCCTGAGCTAGGGTAACAAAGAAGCCCCTAAAATGAAGCATTTCTGTGAAATTAGTTTCCCTAGAACGTGGTCTGAAGTTTCCTAAAAATAAAAGAATATGAAAACAAGCTTGAAACTTTTTCTGAGAAGATCAGTGGTTTTCTGCGGAAAGGCAAAGTAAGTGTGTTTGGCAAATTTCACCGTAGATTTAAATGAAACTTGAAAAATATGAAAGAATGTATGAAAAGCTAAAGTTTGTGAAGGCCTTTGACTGTGCAACACAGTATTATGTTTCCTAGCATAATACAAACCTGCATTATGCATTACACCTGTAGCATACGGCACCCTAAATACCTGTGTATTCAGCTGAACATATACAATAATGTATGTGTTCCATAATAGCAATTATCCACTGATATTCGTTAAGTGTGCTTGATCAATTACCCCATCTCCATGATCCATCAACAATCTGTCTTCCCCTTCGTTAATCCCAGGACTGCTAAGGGTGGTGATGGTGTCTGACACCTACACCTTCCTCTGGTGGACAGACATGGATCGGTGGGAAGGAAAGAAGAATACTCACTTCAGAAACTAAACCATAAAATACTTGGGCTTAAAGGAAAGATTTGACATATGAAACAGTTTATGAGTTTCCTGCATTTCTTTACTAACACTAGATTTTTATAGCAGTATTATCAGAAGCTCATCAGTCATTTAAATCAACGTATTTTTACATATACTTTCTTACACATTCCTAACATATGTGTAAGAAATCTGGTGTGGAATACAACTTACATGATTAAAAGCCAATATAGAAGCTTAGTCTGGAAATATTAAGTATCACACTGTGTTCACAAATTAATAAATATTTTCAAGTCACAAGAATGAAGGTAGACCTCAAGCCTACTGAATCAATCATAAGCTCTATATGAATTCAAAATACTAATTTTTTTTCTTTCAATTCATAAGGAACATATTTTCCTCAGATGCAGCAATTCACTTATCAGGCTCTGCAATTTTGGTTACTACCCTTCAGTTCATTAGGGTTACTGTATAAAAAATTAGAAAAGTGTTACCATTTACTGCTTTTGTGGAATTTTCTAAATTCCTGCACAGTCCTGCTCCTTGCACATCACCTGATGACACAGGTTTAAGGTGATATTCTTTTTTCCTCATCTTTTTTTAAAGTATCCCTTCTGCATTGTGTTTTCAAACAGAAGTACCCTCCTATGGAGAAATGGGCTTCATTGTTGCTTTCATCCAGTCAATGAAAAGTGATGGAAAGGTTTCTTTTTGGAAACATACTCATGGGCTCTGGATAAGAGTTTCATTGGCATCCAGTTTTCAAAACAGAATTTTATTGATTCTTTAAAATAAGAATTGTAAATTAACTTAGGAGCCTCACACCACCAAGTAAGCATGAGTGTGTCTCATAAACACTGTGGTCCTAATCCAACACAGCACCACAGGGACCCTGTAATTACCTGATGACTGTATTCAGATTTAAGTGTTTTACTCATGATATTCCAGTCAACTGCTAGAGTGTAAACTAAAAGCTGAGTCAAGTCTCTTTGATATCTGAGCCCTGCTTTAAAGCAGCAAATGGCTACTGCAGCTGGTATTCCAGTATTTTCATCAGACCCAAACTAAAGGTACTGCCTCCAAGTCAGTGAAACATGTTCAAGTTGATGTCAACTCAAGTAATCAGACCAACGGAAGGAATTCAGATTTCTGAATATGTTCCTTCATTTTTTCTCTAGAATGACTACTTTCAGTGGATTTAATCCTCCATTCCTTGTTGATATGGGATCATACTTGATAGGTTTCCAATGCTTTTTGACCCGGTGTTAAATTAATTCTGTGACCCTGAGCCATGACCTTTCTGGTGGACACTGTGGTCCTTAATGGAGCTATAGACCCTCTGAAAAGACCATGTAGTACAATAATTTCTTTGGGCATCCCTACATTCAACAGGCTGTGATACTTCTAACTGCAAAGGCAAAACCGTGTGCATCTTCTGACTGCATGAAGAGGGACTCTCTGGTGCCTCCACTGCTTTGCTCATGCCCAGAATGAAGTGGTGCACATTGCACCTGCCCTGCCTCATCAGCACGATGTTAACACTCAAAGCTGGATCATAAACATTTATCACCGTTCTTCAATTGCCTAAAAATTGGTAGCTTTGCAGAAAAACAAACCATGCCTTTCATCAAAACAGGAGCCTGGAAACGATCCCTTATTCCTGGCAACATCCAGAACTAGAAAAATAAAAGATGACTGGCCTGTATATCCCTAATCCCACAAATATTTACACACACTCTTCAGTGCCTGTAGCGCATGCAGTCCCATTGAATCCAGCAGGACTACTCGTGGCCCTTCGTTCAGCACCAGGGTGAATTTCGCACCGCCTGCAGCCTCTTCCCAGCACACAGCCATGCACCCCCACTGCAGGGTCCGTGTCGCGTGTGAGGCACGCTGGTGTGGGAAGCCTGGAGAGGTCACACCCACGAGGAAACCCCCGGGTGTCCGCACGGGCAGGGGGAGCGCAGGGTGCGTTCTCCTGCCGGGAACACCACGTCCCGCTTGAACTCTCCCGAACACTGACGGGTGTCCTGGAACTCCCGTCCCGGGCTGCTCCCCACGGACAGCCCCTGCTGCCCACGGTCCCGCGGACGGGGTGTGACACCCCCGGGGTGCGACATCCCCGGGGTGCGACACCCCCAGCCCCATCCCCCGGCGGGACCCCGATCCCGCCCCCGCCGCCCGGCCCCGGCCGCGGCCCCTTCCCCGGGGCGGAGGGAGGGAGGCGGGGCCGAGCGGCGGCTCCGCGGGGCCGGGCCGGGCTCCGCGGGGCTGGCGGCGAGGGCTGGGTGCCGCCGAGGAGCGAGGGCGAGCGGCAGCGGCCGGGGCTGCGCAGCAGGGCCCGCGGCGGGGGCATGGCCCGGCAGTAAGCAGGAGCGCTCCGCCGCCCGCCGCTCCCGGCGGCAGCCCCGCCGCGCCCCGTCCGTCCTATGCGACCCGCCCCGGCGCCAAGATGAAAGGTAGGGACGGGAGCAGGAACAGGAGCGGGGAGCCCGCTCCGCCGCCCGCACACGTGCGCCGGGCATCCCGCGGTCGGCAGCGTGCGGGAACACCGTGCGGGAACAAACACCGTGCGGGATTAAACACCGTGCGGGAACACCGTGCGGGAATAAACACCGTGCGGGAATAAACACCGTGCGGGAATAAACACCGTGCGGGAACACCGTGCGGGAACACCGTGCTGGAGCAAACAGCGTGCGGGAACACCGTGCGGAGGCGGCGGGAGTGTGGACAGGCTTTAGCAAGGGACACTGCGGGCAGGGCGGTCCTGGGGAGGGTGCCTGGGGGTGAGCCGCAGCCAGCAGGGTGCTGGCAGGACGCGGTGCGGGCAGGTGGAGAGCAGGGCAGGGCAGGGCAGAGCAGAGCAGGGCAGGGCAGGGCAGGGCAGGGCAGGCGGTGCCGGGAGAGGCAGAGCGCGGCTCCCGCCGCCACCCCGGGGTGCGGGCTCTGCGTTGCTCGCCGTGTGTCCGTCAGTCCCGGTCCGGGAGCGGTGTCCCTGTGGGAGTCTGGCAGTGTGGCAGCGTGTCCCGGCGTGTGTGCTCTCTCCCCCCAGCGCGGTTTCTCTCGGCACCCAACTTTTATCTTCCCCCTCGCCCGTGCCCCGAGAAGAAGACTTGGGTTTCTCTCGGGTTGATTTGTTTACTTTTTGCCAGCGTTTTGCGATGTTCTTGGCAGTGATTAGGTGCCAGTAGAAGCTTTACTGGCTTGTGAAATGTATTTGGCGTATTTATCCTCTACATCCACCGACTGGAAAATTTTTGGTCTTTACTTTGCATCTGTTCAAACTTGAAACTTTGTTTCTTTTCCTTTTTCTCTTTTTTCCTCCCTTCTCTTTTTGTTTTAAATGGGTGGGACATTTGATCCTGTCCTACAAAGATGTGACTGAGAGGTATCACATACTTTAAAATGAAATAAAGGAGCAGATTGCCAAATTGCTACACTGTAACCTAGTAAAGATGTATGGGGGGGGTGCAAGAAAGCCTTCTGTTTATGAAAATTGACAGTCTTAAAGCAAAAGGCAGAGGCTTTACACACAGGGGAATACTTGCAATGAAAACATCAAAGGACATTATGGAAAGTTTAGGAGTTTGTTGGGGCTTTGTGAGAGTTGAATCCAGTTTTTCTTCAGAGGCAAAAATAAGCTTAAGGAAAAGACATACATATATGAATATTGCTTCTGGGCACCACTGTGCCTGTTCTTGGACAGAGTCTTATTCCAGATGCCAGGAGGCCAGTAAACCTCATGATAGTTACACTGAGTTTCCAGAGTCTAGGACACCAAATGATGTGATTATTTATTCACTTGCCAGAGTAGCTGCCTGAAGGGAGGAGAAACTTTTGGGGGGCATTTATTTTGCAAGCCCACCCACACACTATTTAAGTTACTTCTGACATTGTAGCATGGTGTCTCTCCAGGGCCGTGCAATATATTAAAAATAATGTATTTACAATGTTCTTTATTTATAGGCTGTTCATGCCAAAAGTTCTGTCATCAGCTGTAAGGGCAGGAACAAACCAAAACCAGGGGGATCTGGTAGTAGGTAAAACAAACCTGTGCCTGTTACCACTGAAAGCCTTACACTCCATTCTTTGGGGTTTTGGGGAGAGGTGGGATGCAAAGGACCAAGGATGGGAATAACATGTAATCCGACTTGTATCTCCTTCCGTTCTGCTTCCACTGCTCTTTGCAAAGCAGAGCAGTGGCATTCAAAGGGAAGATGTAATTCCTGCTCCTGGGAGCACTCGCTGGTGCCCCACACTCCATCAAGAGGGAGTACTAGTCCTTACCATTTGGCTTCCCTAAAAGTGATTACAGCCATCTTATTTCTTTCCCCCAGAGAGTTACAGAAATCAGTAATAAAGCATGCAAAGAAGGACACTTGAATGACTGTGCTAATAGCAAAAGAAAAGCGTCAAACAAATAATCACATTGGGTGCTTTTGCCAGTGTTAGAGAAGTCAGAGAGTCAAACTAAATTTTGACTTGGTGATTTCCTTTTCTGGGTACAGACTTGGCTTTTCATATTTTTCTCTTTAAACTTGATGGTAGTGATAATTGTAGGACTGTAGAACTTTGTATAGTTACACATTTTTCTCAATAAAAACAAAAAGATCTGTTGATTGCAGCTGTCTCTGTATCTACCCTCTCTAGAGAATGGAGGAATATTTAAATAATTACATCACTAAATATCTGTAAGGAATAAATTATATTTCCCATTGCTGGTGTTTGTAATGTGTTATGTTTTAAATCAGTAAAACAAATGGAAGTTTATGTTCAATATGTTGGCAGTTTTATTTCCAGCAAACAACACTGAGCTCACAAACTTTGTCATATTTTTTAGCAATAATTCATGTGATTTATATAGGGTTTTGACTGCTTTAGGGTCAGATTTATCTTTATCAAATGATACTTCTAAGTTATAGTTATTTATTGGGGTATGTAGGAGCACTCGTTGCCTGGGAAACAAATGAAAACAACTTCCTCATACTCAAACACCACCACATGTTCGAAAACATTGGCCCTAATTTAAGACAGGGACAAACATTTTTAAAACTGAGAACTTCTTCCCATAAAGCTGCAATATATTTTGTAATTTAACTACTTTAAACTCTCTACAATCACTACTGTCACGGCAGTGCTGGTGGTAAGTATTTTCTTCTGAAATATGGGTACGGTTTGGATAACCACGTAATACTAATGCCCAAAATCAGGCAACAGCAGAGTCAAGGTGGTCATTTTGGGACTGTTGCTCCAGGATGACAGAGAAGCTCTTAATTAATGATGCTCCAAGTAGCTTAGCTGCTTCTTTTCATTCCTCCTCCACTACCACTACCACCTCTTCCTCCTCTTCCATCACAAGCACCTTGCAATGCACAACTTGTATAGCAATGGTGCTGGAGGACAAATCATCTGGGATCCTGTGCTTGAGGAGCAGGATGTGCTTGAGGGCTGGAAATGCCATCAAATATTCTGTCTCGTGCCGTTCCTCTCATTTGATATAAAAAGATGGGCGGGGGAGAAGCAGGTTTGTCCTTGGTTGTGTTCCACTGGAGCAGTGAAGCCCGTGGTGCCTCGGGAGCAGCCTGGCCTGAACGCCAGCCTTTCTTAGCCTCGACCCCTGTACCTCAAAGGGGCTCGGAGCACTGCGTGCACACTGAGATAAGAGCACACCGAGCTCTCACAGGACATGCCCTTTCAGTTTACCCCAAGTTGGCCTCACACAGTGAACACTTTATCAGACAATTAATTTACATATCAGCCTGTATTGCTGAAATTGTCCCTTCTGTGGGACTTAGAGCCTGGATGTAATTTGCAATAGCGAAACCCGACTATGCGTGCAAGTTTAGTTGCTCTTTCTTGACTACCTTGAGAAGTCTTAAATAATATATTTATGTGATGTTTACCTTCTTGACAGGTTTTGTCTTGCTCTCTGTTTTGATGCCTCTGTTAATTTTAAAGAATAAAGGAATAAAAGTTACAATTTTGTAACACTGCAGAAAAGTCTCTCTCTCTTTCTCTCTCTCTCTGTCCTTTGTGTGCACAAAAATGAACAGTCATCTGCAACTAGGTCTTTCCGGGATAGAAACTTCAAACCAAGAATTTAAAAAAAAAATCCAGTCCAGAGCATTTTGCAGAAGCCAGAAAGCATTCTGAAAACCAAGGATTAGAAGTAGAGTGATCCAGTAACCTTTCCTTAGTCCATTTATAACAGAGCTTATATGAATATAGTGACATAAACATGAAACATATGCAGGAGGTCTGAGTGGTGTGTGTTGGACATGTCACAGGACCCTACAGCAGAAGTTCAAAGGCACGAGCAGTTATAATAAATGTGTGATAAAACACAGAACAAATCCTGAGCAATGCTACTATACAGTCGGTGTGTGTCCTGAATTGATTGGTAGCACAGAGGATTTTAAACATATGGATGAGAAAGATGCAAGTGTATGTCAAAGCATGGTGTTACTAACAATACAGAGAAAAACAGAGCTATGAAATTAAGAGAAATCTGTTACTGCACAGATAGAAATATTACTATACAACCACAAAGGATATTGAGCAGAATTAGCATATAAGCTATTTATGACAGGAGCGTTTCCAGTGAGAACTTGTAATTGTTCAATTCTACTTTTCCCAGCCAGGACTAAGAATAGCATGGACAAACCTATCCCTATGAAGAAGGGAGTTGTTTAAAGTCTCCTGTAACTCTTCTCCCACATTGGATAACACAGATTAATTTTAGACTGATTTTGCTACAGCTGAGGGCTGAATAGAGCCCTTTTTTTGTCACAACCACTAAAGAACTTACTTAGATCCACACTGAAAGACTGTCGTGCCCAAGGGTTCAGACACTTCTGCCTGCTAGGATAAGGAAGGAAAGGTAATCTTCCAGAGAGATAGAGCTGATCAGGCCTTGCAGAGATAAAACAGAGTAAAATAAAGAGAGCTGAGAGAAATGTCAAGGATGAAAGCAGCTCAGTACTGCAAAGGATGCATACCCAGTTATCTTCAGCTTCACAAAACCTTCCTTATCCTGAGGTTCTGTATGTCAGAACAGAGAATCTCTCCTTCCAGCCCTCCCCCTTGGAAAGCAAAATAAAGACGCTTTTTACAAGGCATGGAAAGTGAACCTGATCCTCCTCATAATGTGAGTGTGGTCTGTGCGAGTGAGGGAGCAACCTAAGATGAATTGTCTTTGGAGTTTGACCGCTTCCACCAAAAACTGCAATCCCTTTTGGTGCATAAATTTGAGGTGCAGACTGGGACATCACTGGGGAACAAAGTGAATGAGTTATGGGAGGTAATAGAGACGTGTTGTTAGGAATGTGTATGCCACTTTAATACTGCTGTTAATTGCCTCCTCTGACATACAGACAGGGAGGCACGATTTTTTTTTTCAGTGCACTAATGAGAGCATATCTGTTTGCTCTTAAATCATTTTTCTGAAATACGATATGAT